CGCGCCGCATGGTTTGTAGTGTTCCACAGGGGTCGGTCCTTGGGCCACTCTTGTAAAACCTAGGGTGTAACTGGGTGCTCCGTGGGTCGCTCATCGTGTTGTCTGTTATGCAGACGACACTCTGGTTACGGCGCGGGGAGACTCGTACACATCGGCGAAGAGCCTGGCTGAAATTGGGTCGGAGCTAGTGGTAGGTCGCATAAAAAAGCCTGGGGTTGCAAGTGGTCGTGGATAAGACCGAGGCCATCTTATTCCATGACCCGAGAGAGAGGCTGCCAGCCGGCGTACAGTGTTCTTTCACCGCTACGCGTTGATCTTGCTTGTGGACCAGAGACCTATCTTTCCCCAACGTAGTTCAGTTTATGTCGGGCAGACTGCGAGACCGTGATGTCGCAGAAGGAGGACTCGGAGAGAGCCCGCGAGCTAGCAGCCGGCTCTCGCCGTAACCGTAGGGCGGGAGGCAGAAGGCGTTGCTTTGCGCGCCCTCTTCCGCCCTCAGGTCGATTCCCCAACCCCGGGGTTTTCGGTCAGTTCGTCTGGGGGGACTACTGCCTCTTTCTTTTTTCTCGCTGGATCAGGGATAGGTGGGAGGCGTAGTGAGAGAAACCTGGGAGGTGCCCTGAAACGGGGAGGAGAGTTCCCTTCGCTCCGCGGCTGCGGTGCTGTCGGGGTCCTGGCTCATACACTTACATGCACATTACACACACATAAACACAGTTACAGAATTACACACTACACTTACACATTCAATCACACCTACACAGTAACACACACGCTGACATACATATATCCTTTCATACACATTTATACACCTTTCACACACAACTACACGCTGTACTAATCTAGGGTGGTATGGTAGATACTTACCTGGGCACTTACAAGGGTACTTACCTGCTTTACTTAACTGACGACTTAGTATAAATACGATTTAGTTTTAGATTTATTGTATTAGTCAATTGTATTGTGCTAAAGTTAACAGTATTAACTTATACAGGTAAATACGCACATCCCACACATCGACCCTTAGATAGTTGGGCGCAAAAGCCTTCAAATTTCAAAACGCAAGCGTAGGCGGGTGTGAGGGTCACACTGACTATAATTATCTGAGTATAGGATAGAAATTGTCTTTCGAACCGTACTTTATAAATAATATGTTTTAATAAAAATATAATCTATACATTTTTTCTTTATTTGATTTCTGACTCTATCCCATAAAACATAATATCAGACTTATTAGAATTTGTAAGTGCTTGTAGTAAACAAATATAAAATGTGCGGATCGCGTGGGAGGGACACGAGCCTAGAGAGTGGGCGGCGGTGAAGCCGCATCAATTCATACATTCCTACTCATCAGTCACATTGGGACTTAAGACTACGTGAATATTATAAATTATATATTATACGTTATATTAATCGCGTACTAGATACTCTTGCGGAAACGGCTGTAAGAAGAAAGGCTGTGGCTTCTAATCCACGGTTGAATTTTAAGCAGTATTCTTTGTCAAAATGTATGGAAAGACGAGGACAGTGTAACAGAGGCCACAATATACATAATTTTACCAATTTTCGTTCGAGCAAAAATATAATTCGTACGAGTTATAACTATAAACCATATTTTTAACAGACTTGGGGAGAATGTGGACGAATCCACCATAATTTAAGAACTCTTTTGTAATATTTCTTTTTTTTTGATTTTCTATTAACTGTCTAAAATGTCTTTTTCATATTCATATGTTTTGTTTTTGAACTTGTGATCTTGATTTTGCTTGTGCATACTAAAATTATCATATAAAAAATAAAAGTAATTCATAATAACTGGACCTTTTATTATAAGTTTAGGTCAAAATCGAAAAGGAGGAGCTTATATGTTCGTACTTTTTTATATGGTCACCGATTTTTCCGATCATCGTTGACCGTTTTGAAATTGTAGCCTAATGGAATCAAGTCCGTCATTTGTACGTTTTTATGTGCAAAGAAGTAAAAAAAAACCTTTACTCGACTTCAAGAGCAGTTCCTTGAATAATTACCTAATTCGCTTTGAAGTCGGTTCTTTTTTTTGATAATAATATTTTTAAAGGTCTTTATATAATTTTGAAGTCTGTTTTGTTACTAACATGTACTATCACTATATTTTCCACTAAAATTAAAATGACGTTATCATAAACCGTTTCATATAAATTAAAATTATGCAGCAGTTTCCCATTTAATGATATTTAAAAATTACAATGCCCTATGAAGTTTTCTTGAAAAATACCAGCTTTCGAAAAATAAATGAAGTAATTTATCATAAATAAAAATTATGATAGTGTCCGTTCTTTGCGAAAGTTGCTTAACAACCAAGGGTTCCCAAAGTTATGTCGTGTATTGCCCACTTTGAGAATAAAAAAATTCAGACGCCCCCATTTTTCTTCCTACTTAAAAACCACTACATCTTCAACTACATTAATTATTGGGAGCTGCATTATTGGATAATGATAATTAATTCTAAACAAGACTTCTAAACGGAGCGATTTATTGACCTGAAATTATTCAATAAAACAGGACAAATACGCATCACATCTACTCTACCCTACACAACACGTACATATACAATCACACTTTCACAGTTACACACACACTTGCATACACACACTGTCACACACACATCCACACATCTTACACACACAGTTACACGCCGTGCTAGTCTAGAGTAGTATAGTGGGTACTTACCTGGGGACTTACCTGCTGTGCTTGCTCGACGACTGGTGCGGCGACGGGACCTCGGTGGGGCCGTAGCCGCGGCGCGACGAGAGGGGATGCGACCCGTCGACTGGCTGGACGCTCTCTGTCTGCCCTTCGGGGCTGATACAGGGAGTGATGAGGCTGGTCGTCTGTGGCGCATCGACCTACGGGGGGAGGGATCCACGATAAGGATCCCTCCAACACGATGGGTAGGGGACCGGAGATTGCACAGTTGCGTCTCTCTGGTCTCTAGTCAGGGGCAGCTGGCCGGTTCGCGCACTGGTCGGCATTGCACGTTCCTGCCTCGCCGTGGGGATGCGTCTCGAATGTCTCTGAGGCGTACCCCCAACCCGAGCGGGACCTGCCCTTCTCAGGGCGGGCCGAAATGGGGGCGAACCGCGCGGTGTATGGCCTTCGGGCCGATCCCGCGCATCGCCTTCCATGAGAGGGACATCGCTGAGTTTTAGTGGGTAAACTCCTGTTTCTTGTCTAGCCCCCTCGGGGGTGGGGCCACAGGAGGAGTCCCACATCACCCGTGGAGCCCGCGCAGGGTGAAGCGGGTATGCGTAACGCATTTCTCAGCGACAAAAAAAAAAAAAAAAAAAAAAAAAAAGGACAAATACGCATATATAAATTACCCAGAGAGAAATACATTTAGAACCGAGTTATTATAAGCAATCTGTTAATTAATATTATTAGTTGATGTTCACAATTCAACTAATGCCTTCGATGATGAAATTACAAAGCCCCCCTAGGCCCCATTTTTCTTCAGGATATCTTGCCGACCCCCTTTTAGTCCTGCAGCGCCCTCAAGGGGCGTTATTGGCCACTTTTGGAAAGGCTGATGAGACTATTATCTTTTATACTATCATTTTACACTTTTTTCTTGACTATAAACGACTACCTAGCCTACAGTTCAAATTTCATCAAAATCTGCTCAGTAGATTTTTCGTGAGAGAGAAATAAATATACGATCACTTTGTTCCTGGCATACTGAGATGGGAGTCGTACCCATGACCTTTCGCTATCAGTGCGACTGCTCTAACCACTGAGAACACAGGACCTAACAGGACTGACAAATTTTTCAAGCCCTTATCCATATCTACATATCTACCAAAGCTCAAGCTTCAATCCAATTCAAAAGCTGAACCTCTTACATATTTAGAAAATAATATAATATATTTTAACATTTTATTTTTAAAAGGGTCTTTAACAGGATTTTACCCCATGAGCTTACTCCTCAAGTTCTTAGGAGGGGTCGGTAATAACTCGATGAACTGGGCATTAGTATTATTTACCAAATTGACTCTGTGCCATATAATTTCGTTAACATCATTAACATTTCATTCCACTTCATTCTTATAGGTGAAAATCGTGAACTGTAATGGGTTTTACTTGATTTTATAGTAATTTTTCTTAATAAAAGTTATCGCTTAATCTTGATTTCTATTGATGTTATATGGAGTTATATTTACATTTCAAAAAAAGGAAGCCAAGTTTAATTATGATGAAAATATACTCATTATTTAATTATGTTTAAAATACTCAATTGCCAAAGTAGAATGACAATGTAATAGTTGTTGTGGTTAGTTATAATTATTCTAGTTAACACAATACCTACGAAATGATGTGTTATCATCCCTTAAGGGAATAATTAATGCGAAAACACACCTGTTAATTTAACATGTAATTACTTGTTTGTGTTGTAGATAACTTGAGGACCCAGGACACTACCTTGTGGAAACCGTTTGGTAAAATTAAAATAATATCGAAAACGTTAGGTTAGGTGTTAATTTAACCGAGTTTATAATTCTTTCAACTTAATTTAACACAAATCTTACAATAAATTTGAAACTACATAGATTTTTAAGATGATAATTATTATAGAAAGCTTTTGTAAAATCTGAATACGCAAAAGGTAGAAAAACTTTCCTTATATTCCTTTAAATTTTCATACAATTATAATGTGAATCGCATAAGACTTTTCAAACGGTAGCGAGCTTTCAATGGACTCTCGTGAAAGCCTTCACCCCGTACCGTTGACATAGTTTGGGTGCAACGCGCTTCTGCCGGAAGTACAATGCGATTATCGATTTGCTTATGATGACAGAAAATGCGTTGAATGGACGAGGATCGGTGCGGGATGGAGGGTGGGGGGTGGAGTCGACCGTTCGACGCTTTAGTTCAGTCAGTGCGCGCGGGGCCGCGGGCTGCGCTGTCGTTCCACGCAGCCCGCTAAACGGAAACAATTTGTGTGTTGTGCAAATGCTTGTGTTTTTATGGCGTTCATATTTCTACGACTTTTGGTGTTGGGTGTGATCGCGGCGGCGGCCGGCGGTTAGTTTCTAGTTCTTATTAGGTGTTGTTGTGGCCACGTGCTGGCCCGGGAGCGAGCCGTGTTTACGGCGCCGGGCGCATGCGCTCGTCTTGTTTGCTTCGGCCGCGGGTCAACCGCCTAAACTAAAGCCTACATACGTATTATTCCGTCAAGTAAGTCTAGAATATAGAACAGGAGATGATGCCGCTCGTGTGTGGTAGGTAAGTTTGGCGGTAGACTCATTTGTTTTGGGTCTGACCTTCCTCGCTTCTTTACTTCCTTCCAAAACAAACAGGTTTCGCCTTCTGAATTTTTGAGTTCTCTTCACTACGTTTGCTCATCATTTAAACACCAGATGATCATCATAGTAATTCGATTCTTAAACAGTTTGCTAATGTATGTCGCTCATTTCGATAACATTCAACATCAAGATGATGTTAGAAAATATGACAATATGATTCTTATAAGATTCAATTTCAATAAAGGTAGTTGAGTGTATTAGATTTATTATTCTATGAATCACCTGATCACAAAATAGTTTATGCTATCAAATGACATTTCGTCATTGTTCAAGGTACTAGTTATATATTAGTAAATGGTATTATAGTTATTTTACAAATATTAATCAACAACTTAAGGTAATTGATTTTATCGATTACAAATTTTATATTATTAATCAAAGCTGACATATAACAGTATAGGACCAAAAATAATAATATCTACCATTGAGGCAAGTGATTTATAAAAATTTTCTGCATTAAAATTAATAGGTGAGTTCACTACGCAGGTAAGTATTTTATCATCTGTGCTTGCGCGCCGTGCGTATACGCATATAATAATGGCAAGAAAATGTCGCTTTAATTGTCAAGGTTAAACTTTGTTACTTATTAGGTATGACATAATGTGCCTATTGTTCTCTAGCACTACTTTCATGGAAATTCCTTTATTTGATTGTATGTGATACAATAAACATGTCGCACTTGCCTTGAATAAAGGTAAGTACTGTTACATATGAGTCATCACTGTTAAATTTGGCTAAAAGTTTATATAACTTTAGATATCATGGAACTTAAATACGAGTCGACGGCGTGGCTTAATTATTAAATGATTTAAGCTTACAGGATAGTCTACTTAATTTCCCTTAGATAAATAATTAACAAATATACATTTTAGACATGGATTTTAAGATAAAAGGATATCTTGTTTCCTATTTTAATATTCCGTTTGAAATTTATATTGAGTCACTGAGACTATTATTGTCTATAAAAATACGAGTATTTGCTCTACATTGGCATTCAAATAAAAGCGGTACATAATATTATAGTGATTTTTATTTAGGATTCACAAATATGACATATATGAAGACACTATTTTACCTGCCTACATAAGACGGAAACGATAGCATGGAAAATGAGAGATATTATTTACACAGTTCATTTCAACCTCAAAAAGCAAAAGCCATCTAAAATCTTCATGCTGTATATATTACGACAGCCAGTGACTGATTAGATGATAGAATTTGTAATAGAAATAGTTTATTAAACAATTTGGAACAAAACACATTAAGGCTAAAAAAATTGCGAAATTATTCGGAAGTCACTGAAAAACTCTTTCTTTACAATCTCTTGCTTATATTTAAAGAAGAAATAAGTTAGTTCAAGGTGATGTAAACCAGAATTCTTTTTAGGACTAATTATGGGCTATTTGAACTATTTCTTTCATAGTTTATTATGTTGCCATAAATGTTTGCGATTGATGCTAAATATGGGGGCTAGATTTTTGTCACCAGATAATGATATAAAGAAAATAGAAGACAATACAACTATTGGCGTTATAAACTGGTATACGTTGTTTGGTAAGTTAATTAAACAAGAAGTCCCGTTGTTTCGTAACCAAACATCTGGAAATTATAATGTTTTAATATACAACTTCCGGAGGCAATAATCTATAAAGGGCTTATTGTAATTGGTGTTACAATTACCGTTAAATAGCTAAAACTAATTATGTCTAAAAGTCAAGAATGTGATATCAATGGCTCTACAATATCAACATTTTTCTCTATTTGAATGAATACTAGAAAGGGCAAGAAGAGCCAAGTTGGCCGAGTAGTATTAATAAATATTGATGGAACATTCCATTAGTCAATAGCTAGTGATTGTATCTATTGAATTATTTCTAAGATAAAAATTCTATTAATATTTATTGGCAATAAGTAGGAACAACCAAGTCCTTGTACCTTGGTGACATTTTCGGAGTACCCAATGTTTCTCATTCTACATATAATGATCTTTGTCTTACATACTAACATACTCCGGCTTTGAAATATTATCACTGAAGTGGAGTCAAAAGTATGTAGGTTAACCAAGGTCAAGGTAATAATTTAGGTAATAGCATTCATACGTATTCTAAGAAAACAAGATTAATTTGTCTAGTCTAGAGAAATATAAGCGGAAAGTCAATGAGATTACAGATAAAAAGAAATTTCCAACAGTGAATTGAACCCCACTATTTTATGTTTCATTTATTATTTAAAACTATAAAAAAGGTATATCATAGTTATAGGTTTAATTAATGGGGAAGAAAAGGGAATATGAATTGATTTAAAAAAGTGATATCAATATTTATCAGCTGAAATTGTACCTAATGATGTTGTATGACATAAATAAAAATGTTGCATAATTTCAGTCAAACTGAATTCATAATTTGATTAGTAATATTAAACTTTCCATATAAATTCGAATGAAAATGTTTATTACAGAGGAAAAGAGATATTACAGAACGATAACATCGTTAGTGTAGCATGTATATCAGAATGTCTCTAATCATGAAATCTATTCAAAAATCGGTCCAAAACGTTCACTTCCCGTTCATCATAGTTTCCCATTGTCAATGCCCAAGAGAGGCCCTCGCTTATTTTTTATGTCTAACGTTTCACAAAAAAAGTGGCGTGGTAGTTCAAACTATAATCAAGGTCAACCGTCTTACCTAATAAATTGTGCGGATTTGGAAACATTCCTATGGGTTCTGTTCGTCTCGGATGGTTCATTATTCGACGGCCCCGTTTCTGAGGTGAGGGACATCTTTGTCTTTTCCGATTGGCCCTAATTAAGGTCATCAACAATATTCGCAATGAATATTGCTCTCGGAGGCTTTTCGATATCAAAACGCCCTTGGAGAGCCATTTGCTCGGACAGTTGAGCACTTTACAGTTTGTTTTCAAAGCGGCCAAATTGGTTTCTCGTTCATAGCATCATTAGACGTTTCTTGGAAAGTATTATTTAAATAATGACATCTGTCTGATCAGAATACAATTTTATTAAGGCAACTAACAACAATTCCGAAAATCGACATAGCTATCCAATGGAATTGGCTATAGTCCAATATCCCAGTTTTTAGAGAAAGTAAGACACCAAATCTGGGATACTTCGATATGTTATACAAGAAATATGGGCAGAGAATGACGACATCTCATTTGGTTAACAGAGACCGAAGAGTAACGTATGGTTTTGCAAATGTTCTATCTTCATTCGCTATGTCCGAATAGCACCTATTTTCTAGTATTATTACTTTATTACATGAAAATAAATATTTAAATGTCAAATTAAAGAGTAGAAATTCGTATTTTACGAATTTTACTGGAAAGTGGATTTAAATTTATCAAAACTTAAATGCCTACCCAGTTATCAAATATTTTGGTCAGTCTTAAACGGAAACATCCATCAATAATATACTTTCATCGTTTCGTACGAGTAAAATACGTAATTACGTCGTAATATTTATGTTACACTGTATAAGAGAAGTAAATTCATTCTGTTATATTAAAAACCTTTAAATTAACATGAGTAAAAAGAAACAAAAATTTTGTTTCATATGTATCGTAAATGATGTTTAAAGATGCTACAACTACACCTTGCAGAGATATATAGATTAAATAAGTTTGTGGAAATCAAAGTGGCGTGGTAGCGAGTGGAGGACGGAGGGGCCCCGCACCGACCAAGGTCAGGGGCCCTCGCATTGTGCCACCAGCCTCGACGCGCCGACGGAGCCGTGCGCGCGCGCGTCTATACCCAAAACTGGCATTGCAAGGGATCGCTTACGGTGACTACTGACTCAAAAGCTTTTGTTAAATACAAAACACGTATTGACCGTAATCCACACAATCGAATTTCAAAACGTACGCAACAAATACGATTATTAAAAGGAGTTACGTGCAAAAAGTAATTTACGCGCTATTATTAAATTAGCCAATCACACGGCCACATGATAGCGAATGGAGTCATTTTGTGATGTTGTATAAAAAATTGATTCCAACTCGTCTAGTTCGATGGTTGGCAAAAAATGTGAGGAAAAAAGTTTAGAATGACGAAACGCGCGGGCAGCGTGCGAACGTTTTTAATTGATATTTGCAAACATGCCCGCGATGTAAGTTGTTTGGACGTTAGGTACATTAAGATGAACGTGCGGTACGATAGATCACAGATGATCCAGCATTTATTTTTCTTATTATTGGAGACCTTCCCAAATGTTACAAAGCAGAGATGAATTATATTTGAGGTATTACGTAATTTATGGATGGTACACGGCCAAGTTAATTTAGTTGGGAATGAAATATTTGCAAAATGAAACATTTTGCTGCTTCTGATTGTCTATTTGGATTTAGAATATATTTTTTTAGTGTAGTATACTATCTTTCAATATTATTTTCCTAGTTAATCGACAATGGGAAATATTATCATCTAATTTTGATATTTTTAAATTCCTCAAAGTTTTGGTATAACGATTTAGGCATACACTATAATGACATTGGTAATGTAATTGTCTGAGTTAGAAGTGGTGACCGTGATAAAACTAAAATTGTAGCTAAATGTCCACGAATATAATTAGTGGAATTGTTACTAAACCCTAGTGAAATTGTTACTATCGGGATAACTATCATGAGATTAAGTTAAAGATAAGTTTTATATAAAACAATAATGAACCCTTCCTTATAAGTGCACAATGCGGGGCACGCAATTTTTAA